GAAATCCGATTTCAGCCCATGGTTGTGTGAATCCAAATTAATACTCACTCTCAACTATGTTTTTGATGTATGCATATTACATTTATCTATTTATCTATTTAGTTATATGCTAAGTTTACTTATCTCTTTAAAGTATAAACATAATTTTGACTATTAGAAATTATTTCAATCAGTTACAAAAGGATAGCAATTATACATTTCATTCCCATCTTTCTCCTATTCCTTTAGATTTAGATATATGCATATTATGTTTATCTATTTAGGTATATGCTAAGTTTACTTATCTCTTTAATGCCTAAACATAATTTTGATTATTAGAAATTATTTCAATGTTTTACAGAAAGATAGCACAATTGTACATTTCATTTCCATCTTTCTGCTATTCCTTAATAATTTATCCTTGACATATGATGCGATGCTTATTCATCCATTCTTTAATTGCAGGGGTGCTGATAACTATAAGTGATCTTATTGAGAATTTGGGTGACCTCTTGAAAATAAAGCTTGGTCAGTAAATTGATAATGGCAATGCCTTTATAACTTATAAGAGACAACAAGGATCCTGTTAATGAGGTAGATTTGTTGGTTTTTGTTATTTTTTTCATAATAAGCATCAATAACAGGATTGTTAAGTATATTCTATACGTACTATGATATGATACTTCTCATTCCACTGATTTCTATTAACTTGTCTAAGCCAGAGCATTTTACACTTTTTTTATATCTAAGATAAATGAAACAATTTGTAAGACCCTGGAGTATTTTTGTTTTTTGCATAAATATGCAAAATATGTTGCTCTGAAGTGGAATTTTCGATTGGTTGTGACAGGTGTTGCTTGTAACATGATTACCATTCTTAATGGGTCAGGTAATTTTATTCAAACTTGTGGTATCTTGTTGTCTCTGATTTCGTTGTGCGATAGAAACAACAGTGAAGAATGATAACGGAAAGCCTGCAACTTTCATATTATATAGAGTAAACATATAGGAAAACATAATGCTAAAGATTAATAATAAGCAACAACACTAATCTGGAACTATAAAAAAGATAATACTTACTATTAGTCTTCTAATAATAATACTAATGATTATAGAAATACATGTTCAGATTTTTAAGTAAAGCAAACACTGCAAATTCTAATGTTGTGGAGTATGACGGGGTTCAGTTTCATGGGGTGGGGGTGTTGACTGTGAAGCTGGATGATGGAAGGAGAGTGAAATCCAAAAGAGATGAGAGAATGAGATGGGTGGAGGGAAAAGACAACGGAGAAGAGTACAAGTAAGGTTTTTAGGACAAACTTGAGGAGAGTTTTAGAACGTATCATGATAACTGGCAAGCAATTGTAAAAGCCTGTGAGAGAATAAACAAGGTATGCTATGTTTTATTTATATTAAAGATTTTTTTTGCTAGCCAAATGACCCACCACCCTGGAAAAAAACTTAGAATGTATTGAAAACTACAAGTAGTATCAAAACTATTAAAAAGTAACATTAGAACTCAATTTTGTCCCTATCTATTCTTACTTCTAATTAGTTTAAAGTAGTGCTTTATATGAAACTATGTGCATAGTGCATTTTAGTATGCTATGTTGGTAACGGAAGGAAAGAACTGATCCTTGGTCGGTTAATTTTTTGTAGTTAGCAGAACAATTATTGCTTCTCATTCAAACTCCTATGATGTGGACACTTTCCATAATTTTTCTTTGTAAAGCTCTGGTTTGAAAACTACAACTGTATGATCGGCCAATGCTAAAGAGTAAGATTAAGACAACATCTTATGTCACAAATTTCTTTCTCTATCTTTCTTTCTTTCTTTTACTTGAGTTATTTCCTCCTTCTCTAAGTCTATTCCTTTGAGCTGCTTCTTAACCGAAAGCTCTCATTGTAATGGAGGCCTGGAATCTAATGAGACTAGCTACACGGACACTTGAAGAAAGAGTAAAGCAAATATGCTTCTGAGTTCTACTCTTAAGCATCAATAACCTGGTTTAGGTATAGTTACACGATTACACCCATTCCATCATGATATGTTCCATTATTTGGAACCACTAATAAAAAAGGTTGAACCAAGTACTGGTTGGTGGTGATTGGATTACACCCATTCCATTTATGCTTCTTCCAAAATATTTACCTTTTCTAAAGAGATAATATAATATTATTGGTTTTATAAAAAGTTGCTTTGTAATATAACCAAGTAGTAGGCAGTAGCAAGGAGGAGTAAGAAGCCTACTTAATTCTCAAAATTCATTTCGTAGGAGGAGATAGCTCATAGGTAAATTTGATGTTTGATTAATTGCCTTTCCTTTCTAATCATCTAATTTTCATCTAATTTTAGTGTGTGGATTGTAGTTCTTGTTTGATTATTATCAGTGCATAATAACAACCAGGTTTTGTCAAGTTAAGGCTGCTGCACTACCTTCCAGAAAAAATTGCACTCGAGACCACGTATGGAGAAGAAATAAGAGGTCCCTTATTTGACTACACAATTTCTATGTCTTTTGCACATGAAATGGCATATATTTCGACTTTTCAGTGTGAAACGTCAAAGTAGTGTAGATTATGGTAATCAAATAGGTTTTGTGATTTGTGAAAATAATGGAATTGATGCCCTACATTGCAGAAAAAATTAGCATTGGAGACCACGTTTGAAGAAGAAATAAGAGGTAGTATGCACTATGGCTTTTTATGAAATGCATTTCATGGTATTCTTAGTGTTATTTTTCTGTTGATTATTTATATATGCATAGTGTTTATTTATTATTAGTGTTTTTCAATTGTTTGGATTTTCTAAAACTATTTAAAGGGATTAAAAAAACTATGCAAAGGAATGATATCTTGTGTCAGTTACTTCATTATTAGACTATGCATTCATGTTAAAGATGCAATAAAGCATGTGAATCTACGTGAAAATTTAATTATGTAATTGCTTATTATTTTAGGTTTGCAAGAGCACTACAGGAGATAAAGCGTTGTTAAAAGATGAAATCGGTGAATTTGAGGATGCACGGGCCATCTATTTTTGTATTTTTTGCAAGCTTTGTACATACATAAAGAATGTATTCTATGACTAAATTTTATTGTATTGGATGTGTATGATGTTTGGAAAGGTAAAGAATGTATTCTAAGAATAATTAATTGTGTTCTTAAAATTATTTTGAAGAATGCATTCTAGAAGAAATAATTCGGTTCCAACTTCTAAGAAAGCAAGAATACATAATCGTCAATATGGGGAATGGTGATAAAAGCAGCCAATCCACTACGTCATCTTGGTAATGTAGGAGTAATTAAATTGCTGCGGTTGTTACTTGACCGCAACAATAAGTATTTTAAGAAAAATTTCGAATGAGTATTTGCTGTGGTTGTGAACCGCACCAAAAAGGTTAATTCACATATTGCTGCTCCCTCAATTGCTGCGGTTCAGAACCGCAGCAAATAGGTCAAAATGACCGCAGCAAATAAACATTTTTCTAGTAGTGATTATCTTTTCTTTTTTAGGAATTCCAAAAAGCTTTGTCTCTTTCTTTTTTAGTCAATATTTTGTAGTTTATGATACTTCTATCTCCACTACACAAATATAAATCACACCATTTTTATATTATTATAATTCATGCCGGTCAAAGAAGTTGTTCTCTTCATCTGATCTGAATGTTTCTGATCTGAATTTTTTAAGTTCTAATCTGATCTGATCTGAATTTTTTTGATCTGATCTGAATCTTTCTGATCTGGTTTGATCTTATCCGAATGTTCCTGATCTGATCTGAATGTTCCTGATCTGATCTGAATGTTCCTGATCTGATCTAAATGTTTCTGATCTGATTTGAATCTTTCTGATCTGATCTGATTTGAATATTTCTAAAATTATAATTATAATTATAATTATAATTACTATAATTACAAATGTAATTACACATATATAATTTAAATATAATTATAATAATAATTATAGAAAAATTAAAATTATAATTATAATCATAATTATAATAGGTATAATTATTATACGTATTACACTAGTTATAAATATAGCTATAATTATAATTGTAATTATATTTTTAGTTATATTTATTTCTATAATTATAATTTTAATTATAATTAGAATATTTATTTCTATAATTTTAATTGTAATTACTCCATATAATATAATAATAATAACAAAAACAAAACTAATAATAATAACAACAACAACCATAATAGTAATAAGAATAATAATCATAATAATAATTATAAATATAATAATAATCATAATAATAATAATAATAATCATCATAGAAATCATAGTAATAATAATAATAATAATAATAATAATAATAATAATAATAAATAATAATAATAATAATTAATAATAGTAATTATAATAATTATAATAAGAACAATAATAAGAATAATAATAGTAATAATTAATAATAATAATAATAATAACAATAATAATAACAATAATAATAACAATAATAATAAAAATAATAATAATAATAACAACAACAACAACAACAACAACAACAACAATAATAATAATAATAATAATAGTAGTAGTAGTAGTAGTAATAAGAGTAATAATAATAGTAATAATAGTAATAATAGTAATAATAGTAATAATAGTAATAATAATAATAATAATATTAATAATAATAACAGTATCAATAATAATAGTAATTATAATAATAATTACAATAACAACAAGAATAATAATAATTATTATTATAATTATAATTATTATTAATATTATGATAATTATTACTATAATAAAAGAGATAAATCATGTCTGAACTTTTCTGATCTGATCTGAATATTTCTGATCTGATATGAATGTTCCTGATCGGATCTGAATCTTTCTGATTTGATCTGAATCTTTCTGATCTGATCTGAATGATTCTGATCTGATTTGATATGAATGATTCTGATCTGAACTGATCTGAATCTTTTTTATCTGATCTGATCTAATCTGAATTTTTATGATCTCATCTAATCTGAAAAAAATAAGAATAAGTAATAAATAATAAGATTAGGATGAACATAACACCTTCAACTTGATACTCAATACTAAGTAAAATTTTTGAAGGGACAGAATAATAAATTGAACGACGTCGGTGTGTCGTACTCGATACTCAACACTCCGTAATGAATAACACGTACGGATTTTCCAGAAGAGTTAATTACTCATATAGGACTAAAAGACACAACAAATGCTAATATAGGAGTGCTTTCGTAAGTAATGTTTAGTAGGACTCATTTAAGCCTGAGTGGACCAAAATAACCTTATTTCAAATAAGGCAAAGCAGGGGAAATTCATAAAGTTCCAAATCGCAATAACAGCATTCACCAAATACATAGACAAATCAGAGATGCAGCCTTCCACACCGGCGTCATTGTCCGTCGCCATCACCATCCGCCGCTGCCGCCACCCGCCACTGCCGCCACCCGCCACCGCCACCCTCATATAGCTCCGCCTACTGCCGCCCCTTGCCGGTGCCTCCAGTCGCGGGCGCCTGTCGGCGCTGGCCAGTGCATCGTTGCCACTCCACTGGTGTTGCCACTCCACTGGTGTTGCCATCCTTCGCCGCCATCACAACTCCGTCGTTGTCGCCAGTGTAAATCTGGCGCCACCACTACACCTCCGAGCACCACCGCCGCCGTCACAAGTCCAGTGCCGTAAATCTGCCATTAGGTTGGCAGATTAGCCATGAAGATTGATTACAAATCTGCCATTAATATGAAGTTTCAGATATGCCAAAAAGTGGCAGATTTATTGTAGAAGAACACCACAAACTGTCATCATTTTGGAAAAAATATGAAATTACCAACCAAATATTCGATTTTTTTATTATAAATCGAATAAGCACTCTAACACAAAAAATAAACCCAAAAATATGAAGCTAGTGACAAAACTTCAGAAAATTGAATTACACAAAAAACATTCTGCCATAAGCAATTATCAGATTACATTTCTGCCATAAACTTGGCAAAATCTTATACCATTGTCCAAAATTCAAAAAATCGAAAACTTTTAAAAGTAAGAAAGTTGAAATCAAAAATACGAAATGGAATATGAAAACCAGAAAAATCTATGTCAAAACTAAGAAGAAGAAGGAGGAGGAGGAGGAGGAGGAGGAGGAGGAGGAGGAGGAGGAGGAGGAGAAACAGAAGAAGAAAACTGACCGACATGGACGATGGCTAGATCTGCAGGGGAGAAGAGAAGCGCGGTGTAGACATCAGCAGCATGCAGTGGAGATAGCGACGGCTTACAATGAAATCGATAGATCTGCACGAAGAAGAAGAGGTGATGCGGAGAAGACAAGATGCAGTGAAGATGTGGAGAAGAAAAGATGCAGAGAAAAGCAGATTGACGCAGAGAAGATGAGATGCCTAGATGTGCATCGATCGATCTATCTGATTCAGAAGGGCAGGGGAGAGAAAAGTAAATAGGTGCAGGGGTAAAAATGGAATGCTAATTTTTGTATGTTTCACAATAGGAGTAAGTTGGTCCTATTTGGGAAAAAAACATAAAAAGTCCTATTTTTGAATTTTACCCTAGTTTTACTCCTATTTGGGGTAATTTCTGTTTCCAGAAAGCATGCCAGTTTCGGATGCATCTAGCGTCAGTTGTTGCCTAGCTACTTGCTCACGTACTGAAATTCCTGGAATTTAAGAACCGACCGATAACGAATAAGCTAAGCTAAGCTATATACAGACTTCACTGAAATTTCCTAGCTTCGGGATGAGTATGGCCATGGCTGCTCATGCAAGAAACATTGCATTGCTCTTATTATTAGTCTTATTACTCTTACTTCCACTTCTGGTAAGCCCACAGAATTACAGCTCGACGACAGACACCATTACCCTCAATCAACCTCTCAGAGATGGGGAGCTATTAATCTCTAAAGATAATTCTTACGCAGCGGCGGACACAAAGGGGGGCAATGAGGGGCTGCCGCCCCTCCGAAAAAAAAAAATTCTAGGTATATTTACCCCGAAATTTTTAATATATATGTATTTGTATGTATATTCTTCTACTGCCGCCCCTGCGATCGGGAAATCCTGCGTCCGCCGCTGTTCTTACGCTCTCGGTTTCTTCACCCCCGGAAATTCCACCGGCAGGCGTTACGTCGGAATTTGGTACCGGAAAATCCGAGAACGCCTCGTCGTTTGGGTGGCGAACAGAAACATCCCCGTCAATGGCATGTCGGGAGCCCTCTTCATCGACGTCACCGGCAACCTCGTCATCCAAGACACGAAATCCAACATCTCTGTCTGGAACACCAGTCTTGATTTTCCGGCGACCAGCTCAAAGGTATCCACCTCTGCTCAGCTCCGAGAAACCGGGAATCTGGTCTTGTCTCATAATGATCAAAAGACAGCGGCGTGGCAGAGTTTCGATCATCCGACGAACACATTACTGGCCCACATGAAATTCGGGGTGGACCGGAAACGCGGCCTGAATCTTTCTTTTTCGTCGTGGAAGTCGCCGGATGATCCCGCCGTCGGCGACTACACTTGCAGCTTACAAATGATGGGAAAGCCCCAAGCTTTCATGTTCAAGGATTCGATCCCGGTCTGGAGAATGGGTCCGTGGAACGGAATCCGGTGGGCCGCCGCGTCGGAGATGACTCCGACCTTCACACCGTACGTGTTCACGGACAACGCCGACGAGGTGACGGAGGGGTACTTAATAAAAGACCCGAGTATGTACTCTGTCTTGATGCTGAACGAGTCGGGGACGGTGAATCGGATCATTTGGGAAGGAGATACCGACGGCCGGAATATGAAGTGGATCGGAAACTGGTACTTTCCGATCGACGACTGTGACTCGTACGCGCACTGCGGCGCGTTTGGGATATGCAATCCGGTAAGTCAGCTTTCCAGATTCGAGTGTAGGTGCGTGCCCGGGTTTGAACCGAAGAATGCCGCCGAATGGAACCGGAGCGACGGGAGACACGGCTGCCGGAGACCGGGTAACGGGAACGAACTCTGCCGTAACGGCGAGGGTTTTTTGAAGTTGGAGTATGTTAAGATTCCAGACACGCGAATGGCGCGCGTGGATAGAGACATGGGGTTGGAGGAGTGTGAGGAACTTTGCTTGAAGAACTGTTCTTGCAGCGGATACGCCGCAAATAACATCAGCGACGGCGGGACGGGATGCATCACTTGGTACGGTGAGTTGATTGATATAAAGGAGTTCATTCATGGAGGCCAGGATCTGTTTATTCGTGTCGCCTCATCCGATTTAGGTATGTCTTGTTTTTTCCCAGAAGTAAAAATTCCCCTTTTAGTTCAAAGCAATTAATTATACTATTTTCCTCTTTTCCTCCCGTTTTAGTTCATGTCATATAAAAATGATATGATATAAAAATGATATGAAAATGTTATTTATAAAAAATGCGTAGTTTATCGTAGAAGTATAAATTATTAAATTTTGTATAGATATATTAGTTCAAATTATTTGTAAAGTTCACCATCTTTGATTGAAATAGAGGTATTTGAGAAAACAAACACCGCCACATCTTTAAGAAAATGCAATTAATTGTAGCTAGGTTACACTAGGCAAAATTGCTGGAGCAAATTAACTTTGAAGTTAGTTTTTCAAAGTAAATTGTTTATATGAACCAATCAAACTACTCGAATTAAGCACTTAAAATATAGTTAAGTGATGAAATTATGATGTTGACTGGACCATATTCTCTCGGTCAAAATGAACTTTGACAACTATTCCTGGTTTAGTTGTCCCAAAAAATTTTACCACTTTCTAATTAAATTAATTATTTAGACGTCAAAAAAATTAAAGTATTTATTTAGTGGTTCTTTTCATTTCTCTCTTTATTTAAAACATCAATCATGCAATTTTTGTACTTCTTATTTCTCACATAATTAAAAATGTGCAATGTTCATTAGAAGGAGATAATGCACAATATGTATTTTTAAGTATTAGGGGTGGACATAATGGTTTGGTTTAACCAAACCAAATCGTACCAAATCGAACTAAACTGAACCGAAACCGGATCATATGCAATTTGGTTTGATTGTGGTAGTATTTCTTCCAAACCATATTAAACTGAACCAAATCAAAACCGATAAAAACTGAACAAAACCAAACCGAGCTAAAGAAATTCAATAAAATCCTTATATATTATCAAAAATATAACAAATTCAAACCGATCCAAACCGCACTAAACCGAACCTAACCAAACCGCAAAATAGTATGGTTTTTTTGGTACTAATTCTCCCAACCCGTTCCAAATTGAACCAAACCGAAACCGATAAAAACCGAACCAAAAACCAATATGCTCACCCCTAATAAGTATGGTGACCTCACATTTTAATGGGTATCGTGACAACCATATCATACCAATACCAAACAATGCCACTTTTCCAAATGTTTAAGGACAAATTAAAGTTTAGTCATCCTCCAAAAATCTACACAATTTATTAATTTTCATATTACATAATTAATAACTTTAAAAAAAATTGCATACAGAGTAATTAATAAATTCTAGATAAACAATATTATTACAAGTTTAAATAATTAAATTAAACCATATGTTGGTCCGGTTCCATGCTTCTAGTGAATTAGCAAAGGTTGTGAAAGTATGAAAGCAGTAGTCAAAATAATGGTATAAATGTAAATTTAAATAACTAAATCATACTTCGGTCTGGTACCGGTTCTCATTTTATGAGAACCGGTCATGGCATTGTTTGGAACCGGTATGGTCCGGTTCGGAACAAAAATTTGAGATCCATTTCAAACCCCATTTTTCGGTCCGGTACCATATCGGTCCAGTTCCGTACCATGCCGGTTCGGTATTTTCCCCCACCCCTAATTATATTAGTCTTCAACACAAGTTTACTTTTTTTTCAAAAAATACTCTAGTAAAAAGTTCGTTTTTCCTACAAAAATACTCTTTCCAAAAAAGACACTAACAAAATTAATCTCCAGTACAAGTTTTTTAGACATGGAGCTTTTCAAAATCTAGTGGTACATTCTTTCAATGGAAAAACTATTTATACACATAAATTGTACACATTTCTTGTACACGTTACCTAATTGCTTGTGTACACGGATAGCTCATTCAGAAACTGTTTTACATACATATATAGACAACTAAGAGTGTAAATGAAATGTGTACAACTTATGTGTACAAGTACGTTCTTCTTTCGATACAATACTAGTGTGGTCTGTCTGGTCTGGACTGAAAAGGTCCAAGTAAAAACATCATATTAATTCCCTAATGAGAATTGATCGGACAGATCATTTGGAGGCTTTTAAACCCGAAACGGTCCTTTATTAATGAGTTCAACGTACTCCACAATACTCAAGTGTCAAGCTATTTATTTTTCTCGTCTAATTTCAGGTCAATATGGAATGAAAAGTGCAAATAAGCATCGTTGGAAATGGGCAAGAGTAATTGTCATTGTTCCTATTATTGGTGCACTAATGCTCGTGTTCTTTTGCTTTGCAATGAAACGGATGAAAGGTATACAACTATATACATATATAAAACTCTTAAAAAGAACAAAGCATTTAAGTGTTTTTTATGTGGGTGATTAAGTGTGTAGAACAGAGATTTGTTGAGAAAGGATTTATAGGAGAATTCGGAGTAGTTATTAATTATGTGCTTTTTTACTTGTGTAATAAATAGGTGACGGATGCTCAATTTATAGATCCTAGTGATTTTTTTTCCTAGTGATATTTGTAGTCATTCCTACATCAGCACTATTCTACTACGTAGCACATTTCATTAGCTTCTACAATATACGAATATTACTCTTGCAAAAAAAAAAGAATATTACATTCTGGATTTAATAATGATTACGAGATAAGTCAAATTTAATTTCTCACAAATATATACTACTACTTCTTTCAAAAAAAAATATACTGCTATTATTTTTAAACAATTGTAACTTGAATTTCGTATTATTCAAATATTCTATTTTATCATCATTTATATATTAATGTATGAAAAAATTATATTTTGCACAATATATTTAATTCGTCTCATTAAAAAAACTATTGTAATATTTAATAATTTTTTATAATTGTGAGTTAAATAAATTAATGTTTAAATAGAAATTGCTTAATATAGGACTAAAACATACACAAAATTCAAAAATACGACTAAGTAAGTTTTATTTCCCAAATATGACTTATTTAATCTTATTAAATGAATTACTTGATTAAAACTTCCTATTTGTGAACTTTATTCATATTTTAGTCTTACGTAGGAAATCTTCTCATGATTAAAGTCGTGATAAACATGAAAATGAAAGTGTTGTACATAGAAACAAAACGGATCGGATGAAGTAGTTTTCCACATTAATAATTATTTTCACCAAAAAACACTATCTCAATGCAATATGAGTTCTAATAATGTTGACACGTGTTGCTTGTATGGATTTTTTAGAAACTCTAATGGGCTGAAATTGA